CTCGGTAACTTGTGTCCCATTCAAGCACCCATCCACACAGGCGACGCCCCACCACCGACATATGCGTTCTACTCCATGACATATGCATGCCTCCTGGTGGTTGCTGTGAAGGATTACTGGTTGCATTCCGGAGACGACAAGGTTGTTCAGCAGTTCCTCCCCGCTGCAGAAAATCTTTTGAAGTTCGCAGAGTCACATTTGAAGCCGTCGGGCCTCATCGAAGTACACCCTGAACTTTCAAGTAAGATATTTCTAATCTCTATGCCATTTCCTGAGTATTTGCTAACAACTGTAAGTGCATTGGTACCCTCTGGGCGGCCCAGTCTTTGGCGCAGCAGGAACGACGAACCTTGCCTACTACGACGCATTGAATGCTGTAATTGCGATGACATCTGATTCAAGTCGCGAGTCACAACTTGCTGAACGAGCTGAGAGTCTCAAGAGAAGCATACTTGCTCATCTGTGGAACCCAGAGACTTGTAGCATCCGCATGGGAATGGCTCTTCCCAGTGACGGAATTTGCCAAGATACGAACGGCTACGCACTATCGCTTGGAATTACGTCTGAACCCGAGAAGGCTGCGACTAACTTGACGTGTCCCTCAGGCACAAAGCCTGTAGCCTTCAAGGGCTTGAACCACTGGGATAGGACAGGGGTCATCAGCCCATATGCTACGGGCTTTGCGGTTGAGGCGCTCTTCTCCCACCAGAAGGGGCAAGAAGCCATCAAGCTGATTGAAAGCGTCTGGGGCCCGATGGCTGATACTTCGAGCCCCAACTATTCCGCCGGTCACTGGGAAGCAATGACAGCCGAAGGAGAGCCTTTCTACCACGACACGTCTTTGATGCATGCCTGGTCATCGTGGCCTGTGTTCTTGCTTCCTCAATACGTTGCTGGTGTGAGACCTTTGGAACCTGGATGGACGAAAATCCAGGTTGCACCAGTTTTGTCCGGTATCAGCTCGGCACACTATGAGAAGGATACTTCAAGTGGCAAAGTAGAGGTTGATCTTAACGTTGACGAGGGAGCTGGTAAGATTGGTGTTACTCTGTCACTGCCGCCTGGCGTTTCTGCGGAGCTTTTACCTCCTCCCGGCTACGTAAATGAGGGTGATGCAAGTTTGCAGGGACCAGTAGGAAAGAATTTAATCACTTTTCAACGGGCAGAAATCAGAAATTAGCTAAAGTACCAGTCAAAGATCGTAGATCATACGTAGAATTCTTACTTAGATTACATTTGGCAAGATCGTACACCAGCAATTCAACTAAGCATGATCTCCTTTTGCTTCGAATTGTGAAAGGCCTCCTTGAAAACCTTTCCGACACCAACTCTCTCCCATTTTTCATCCTTTCTCTCAATCAGAAGGACGTAGAACAAATCCCACTCGCTTTGCTCTCTCTCTTTGGGGATGTAGTACGTCCACTCTGGACACTCGTCACGCGTAAAACTCTTCGCTTCAGAGATGGCGATGAATTCTTGCTTGTCGCTCGCTTTGGCTGCCCAGTCAGCTTCCAAAACCACTGATCCACACCAATCGCCCATCTCATCTGCAATATGATATCGCGCCAGACCACTTTCCGTGCCCATGCTAAGAAGCTTGCGGTCATGAAACTGCCGCTCCGATGGGCCGTTATGTTTGATGTACAGCCAGGTGTGCCATGTACGGAACTGCAAAATCGGAAGCAGAGGGAATTCGGACGTCTCAGGCTTCGGTTCGAAGGGAGCCTTCACGACGCGGTACGGATAATCTCGCAATGTGATACTGAATTCTTTCTCGTTATCCTCGAAGAACATGTCGAAGAAGTCCGCGGTGTGAACCGGCGCCGGGGCTTGGACGAGGCCTCCGGAAACTACTGGTCCAGCGCCGAACAGCGCGCCTTCCCGAGTGACTTTCCGGCGTTGATCACTGGCTCATCTGTCAGCTTGCCTGTACAACCGACTCAGAAATTGAAGATCTCTTTACGTACTACTTCGGAGAAGGCGGAGAATGAGGTGGTAAATTCAAACGGTCTTCATATTCATGCCTAGACCGTCGGTCTCTATCTCTGTCGTCTGCGACAACTGGCATTCTGGGTCGCCTACAACTTCTGTGTCAGAAAGATTACATCTTTAAAGATGCCAAGGTGGTGCTTCATAGACTTACTCTTCCGCACTGTATGCTCGACCGACAGAATTAGACGCCCGAAAAGCGGCAGGCTGCCTGTAAGAAGTGGCCTCCGTATACCCCTGATAGAGTGGTTTGGTGTTCCTGGACCTTGATGCTCCTTGTCTAGACCGCGATCTGGATCCAGCTCTTTCACGCAGTCGTACATCTACGTCAGAATAAGACGCTGAATCATCACTGTACCTAAAGTTGAGTTTAGCAATAAGATCTAATATCATTGTGCATGCTTCCTTACGAAGAACCGCCTGGTGAATCGTCCCGTTGCACTGGGCCTGGAGATCCCCGACGGCGTGGAAAGTCGGATGGGATACCTATTCTACGATTAGCTGTTGCCATCGATTTGGGGGCTGCCAAGCGGTATTTACTCCTCTCTGCTCTCTTTTTCGTATATCCTCTCCAGCTGCGATCTTCGCTCGCGTCTTCCAGTGACTGATGATAATCCCACAGTGGACGTAAGTCGCCGTGTCCATCCCGCACCCACCACTGAATCCAAGTGTGCGTGTTCAGCCACTGAGAAACATTGTCGAGGGCTCCTCCAATCAAGTCATCATGATACTTGGTCTCTCCAATCCATCCCGTCCAAGACCAGCTGGGAAAGTCTGGGATCGTATGATCGTTTTGATTCGTCGAAGACGTTCTCCGTTTGACGGACCTAACGGGTTCCCAAAGAAGAGCCAGATCAAAGTGGGAACTAGGAAGTCCATGTATGAAAGGCGAATTCATGCGTTCCTCCATCATGTTAGCCATACCACTGAAAGCTGCCTGGATATCTTTGGCTTGAGTCAGCTTTCTCTCGGTGTAGAGCTCGACGCACTTCATGTACACCCAGAATGCACGGTCGTCAAGTTGTCGAAACATTTGCATAGGCGCATCGACCAGGTCCAACGACCACCCCGCTCCCTTTTGGTCTCCAAAGATGTCCTCCGACATGCCAGTCGATCGACATTGAAAGTACACCCTTCCGTTAGTGAAGATCAGGCAGCGACGTGAGAGGAGCCGCTCTTGAAACGTCCACGCCCGCTCGTTCCACTCCGAGGAGCGAATGTAGATCTCAGGTGGGCGCGTAACCATTAGTTCAAGATGAGGGTTGATCATGCGCTTGTACTGTTTGGTGTTGCGAGTACTTGGTCGCATGGCCCTCAACCCGGTCGATGCATCTCCATCCGCCGCACATATAGTAAGTGCTGCGTTGCCGTAAATAAGGTCCATGTTGAATGCATTGAGCTTCCAGGATCGCGAGCTATTCTGGACAATGCAAAGGCGGTCTATCCACATGTATTTAAAGCCAAGTCTGCGGACGAGGTCGATTGCGTCCTGGATAGCCTTCGGCAGTCGGAGAAGAACATCTTCAAGCCCACCATGCATACGGTGAAGCATGACATTGTCCGTCAAAGTTGTGTATGCCGTCTCGTCGGTTCCCCACACGTAGCTGAGCGCAACATATGGCTCATGTATATCTGTTCCCCATGCATACCTTCGTTCTCTACCATCTCGAGATCTCTCTCGAGACTTGCAAGGCAGCTGTGTGAGTTGCATGTTCTGTACGTCGATGACACCGAAGTAAGAGTGAGACACCATCTCGACAAAGCGCCCAACGCCTTCCTCCTTATTTTGACGACAAGGGCCCCGATGAGACTTTTGACAAAGATCTAGCCATGATCGGATGAGAGCTTGGTTCTCGATGTCTTCGGTAATCTTGCGCCCCAAGAAAAGCGAGTCCTTGGCCCAGACACGGTCAGCATCAGACGCCGTCCTTGCAAATCTCTCCGGTGCGACGTAGACCAGGTAAGCATCTGAAAGCCTAGGGTGGTCCCATCGAATGTGCATGCGTCTGGTTATACCCCGGACTGTATTCGCTGGATTGTGACCGCGGGGTTTGGACCTGGACGCCTCACGGCCGTCAATTTCCCAGCTGATGGAGCATTTGGCATTCTCAAGCGCATGCTCTGCAGCTGCGTCCAAGACGTCACCGGTCGGGTTTTGAGTCCCTGCTTCCTCCACCGAGTCTATGATCAAAGCGCACATCTCGCATTCCGATGACCGGTTGCGAATATCACTCAGGCTGCCAAGATGATGGGGTGTTGTGTACGAGCGGATTGGCGCTGGCTGATCTTGTACCGGCTTGCCTGCAGGCTTTGCGGAGCCAGGTTGAACTTTGAAGCAGTGTACACCCAGCTCCAAGACAGCGCAATCTTCGCAAAGACCCTGTGCTCAAGTTAGGTGCGCTGGGAAAAGAGGTGAAGCATGTAGTCTGAGCTCGAGGACCCTCTTACCTCGTTGTGTGCGCCACGTCGTCCATTGCTGTGATCCTGAGGCGGTGCATACTTCGCGACCGCATCTACGGCTTCTTTGGGCTCAAGGATATCAGACAAAGTTCCGTTCCTATTGCTGTTCTCCATCTTGCAAGCTTGGTCGCAATTCTGACAAGGGAGTGTTGGATAGGAAGCTGAAATTGTCTTCCAGAAAGGTCTCCATAAAGTAAGCTGAGGTGGCTGGGAGGTGACGGCGTACTAGCGAAAAATGGGATTTGATTGGCCCATTGAGTTGGCAAGAGGTGGTCTCACTGCAACATTGAGTGACCCTTGTTTTCAGCTTCCCATGTTTTGCGCTAGGGAGATCGTGCTGACGCTGTCACATCGAAATGGGCTTCACGCGTGGTGATATATCCGACAGTCGACCACGATGAAGGAAACCAAAGTAGAACGCTCACTGTAGAACTCGCACGCAATTTTTGAGCCTCGAAGGCAGTAAATTGTCAAAATACGGGTTTGACTTCTTAATCCGCATGCCTATCTTCCCTGAAAGAGATCGCCTAATAAATTCCCCCCACTTGAATTTACTGACAGTTGGCGCCGCCAGCAACATTTACGCACTTTTGGCGACCGCAGTCCATGAACTGTAGCACGAGTCAGCAATTCCGTCGCTATCGTCGGGTGACGTGGCTAGAAACGTTCGCCGCTTACATCGAAGACGTTGTTCTTGGCAAGGTTGCAGAACTTGATGCTGTTGCCCTGGCAGACTTGAATCTCGTTGCCAGTACAAGACTGGGCAGACGCCGCCGCAGCGAAGAGGAAAAGGATCGCCCCGGCGAACTTCATTGTATAGCCGGAATTTGCGCTAGGTGATTGAGGATGATTTTCTATAGCGAAAGCTGTAGAAAGTTGAAAGTGGGGGTTTTGTGAAAACGCCGGGAAAGTTGAAGTTCGAGGGTAAAGAACGTAGGTCGCGAATAGGTGTGTGGCATGGAGCGAAAATTCTTGCAGGGGAAGACACCATGCTTTTATTCTTATGTTCCACCCCCTTTCTTCGCTATCGGAAGGTGCGATCTGCTGGACTACAGATGCTTGAACGGAGATTCTTGACTCGCTTGCTGTTGGTCTAGGCGGCCGTAATTAAATTGAGCTTGTTTCGTCGCGAGAGTCCCTATTGCATGCAAAGTAGCTTGTGTCTAACGATGCGATTGCTAATGCCACCTTAGTGAGCTGGAGATCAATTCAGGCTGGAGATTCATCAGCATTGCGTGTCAGATTCTATTCCTTCCCAGATACTCATGCGTCCTTTCAAAGTCCGCTCTTTCGTTATTTTGCTGACATCGAGTTACACTATACTTGTATGTTCTCTGAGTCAGTCTAGCGTGAACCGCCTTCAGGCTCATCTAGGTCATCTCACATTTGCGGCGTATCCGAAACCTTAACAATGCCCCGTATCCAGACGCACGGTGCTTTCTCAGTGAAGACCCGGTTTGTTTGGAGCAGCTGACAGAGGTCGAGAGCTCGGCTGCGGGGATTCTAGTTCACCTGGAACTATGCTCAACTAGAAGAAAAGAATCAACTGAGCCAGTCCATCTTCTGAAGTCTTAGTCTCACGAAACCTTTCCTGTTATGATCTCAGAATCCGACAAGCGGTTCGAATACCCTCGAGAGCGACCCACAACATGCATTTTAAGGCACAGGAAACCGAATTCAGCACTGAGAGTGGCACTTCGCGTCAAAATTCCGGAATCAATCTCATCCCCATACAAAATCCTGCGGGTTCTGCGCCTGAGTGAATAACAAGGGGCGATGACAGACGAACAAGCCAAAATTGCAACTTGCAACTATGCGGCCGTCAAAAAGACCCGTCGCGATTCATCGGCTTAATAATCATTCATAAGACAGAATATGCTGCGTCGTGCAGCCTGTTGTGAGAGAAGAAAGAGCCTGCATCAATACCACGCAAATTAGTCGAATAGAAGCACATTTTTAGCAGACTTGGTTATGTGTTCTTTTCTTCTTTTGGATTTATGCTTTGCTTAGGTTTTCACATCATTTTCTTCCATGAGTTAGGCTATGACCTCAGCTATGCCACACTTGTCATGGGGTCTCCCGTCACTAGCGCTGCCTTAGACTTGGCCGATGCTCTAGACCCATCTTTGATATCTAGCAAGTTGTCCCATGCGCTTGGGTAAATGAAGAACATTGGCAATATGGCCGGCAAGACAGTGCGCAAGTCTGCCCGTCGATGTCCAGGATGGGGTGCCAAATGAAAATCCGGTACATTTCCTAAGACGATTCGAAGCCTTATCGTTCAAACTGTTTGGAAATCAGATGGTCAAAATTTCACGGTTGAAGCTTGATAGAGGCTAGTGGGTTGGACGGAGTCAGACGTCAGACCACAAGGCTGCGGCTATGGACACGCCATTTCAGACAGATGTCAGCGACAATAGCTCATGTATTTGATGGTGCCTTGTGAGTACCGATGGCATTTCGGTTATGAGCAATAATGCAGCACCTGATGTTCTCCATTTTCACTGGTGAGATCTGTTTTCCTTCTTGCGGCAACATTCCGTACATAGCAACCTAGGCGTCTGGGGTGGTAATTCGGCAGATCCCAAGGGGATCATTCTGCCTAAGGGTGCTGTCGCGTGATAGTCCTCACGCGGGTGGCAGCACATCTCACCAAAGGTGACCAGGAGATGAGGCTAATAATTGACATGAAATATTGAACCTGCTTCAGAGGCCTTAACATATGTCTTTATGATATTCGATTCAGTTTCGCCATTCATGGAAAAGTGTCGGATCCGTAGATCAGAACCCCTGGAGAAGAAGATGAGCAGCCAATCGCAAAAACAAATCTCGCTGCGGATTCAAATGTACCCCGCCGGGCAGTTTGATCGTCAAGGAGGTTCGAAAAATACGCAGCGCATTGGAATAAGCGAGGTTGCTGAAGGTGGGATTTGGCGTTACCACCTCCCCTCCCGTGCATGGCCCCCCAGTACAGACACTGGTCATAGGGATCAGGGGGTTCATCCGAGAACCTCAGCGTCACCCCATTCCCATGTTTTGAAACTCCATTCGATCTTCGAAACGCCATGCCAGGCGCTGAGCCTTCTTTCGGGCTCCGCGCACCCTTCTTCACATCATCTTAGCGCAGTGCTTCTGTCAATCCATCCCATATATAAAATGGCAGCTGTCACGCCGCTGTCAACACTTGAACATTGTTTCAACTCATCATTAGTGAAACTGCCATCCGATAGATTGTCTTCTCAGTCATCTTTTTATCAACCTCTTCCTTTTCTGACCTGGCGTCATCTTCAAATATCTTTTTAAGCTTAATTTTGAATAACGACCCGGCGTCCTTTTCTATTCTCACACTGTCTTTCGATACCCACTAGAATCAATCCAAGATGTATCCTCAGCAACTTATCGTCACTTTTTTGATGGCTACCAGCGCCACTCTTGCTACCGCGAGTCAGTAATTCACAAAATGTCAACCAGACCCCACTCCATTTCTCTAACTGGCTGGCTGTTCTAGGAAGCATCGACAGACGCCAATTGCTTGGCAATCTGGGCAGTCTCTCATGCAATGTGGCACGACTCCAGATCCTCGGCGCCCTTGGCAACACCGACGACGCCGTCTCTAAAATCACCGATGCAACAGTCAAGGATGCTGCCAACACAGGCCTTCAACAGGCGCGAGGGGGTATTTCGCAAATTGCGCAATCCCTTCTGAGCGGTAGTGCACCTCCCGCAGCTAGCCGTGACGAAGTAGCAGCTGGACTCGCTGCAGCAGGCGACGCCCTCTCCAGTGCCGATAAGTAAGCGTCAGAATCCTTGAAGCTCGAGATGACGATGGCTGATATTCTATGCAGGAGCGACCAAGCTGTCGTTGATGCGCAAGCAGGGCTCGACAAATCAGTCAAGGCTGGCCAGGATGTTGTTGCGAAATGCTAGAGAGGCAGATGGATTAAACCCATTAGGAAGGAGAGCAGCATCGTGTAGTCGTTAGAGGAGTAGTTATGATACCACATGTTCCACCCACATTGAAGACTCGTTTTATCGAAAACATCCAGGTATATATTGTCATCACATTTCACCCTTAGCTTCTTATTCCGAGCGCTCAACAAGCAACCGACACTCTGTAACAGACAAGCACTAATTCTAGGAAGTAGAACACCACTTTTGATCCAATGCAGGGTTCTGTCGTTGAAAAGTACCTCCCATGCTGTGGTTTTCACGATGTGGCTGTTGACGGATTTCGCTCCTTGCTGAAGGATCACGCTAGATCTGCAACCCCCGCACCGCATCCTATGTCTTTCCATCTGTTGCCTGGGCAAATGTCCCCTCTCTCCACCTCCATCTCTCAAGGCAGCCACTCCAAGTTGACGGAGTCACGCGAGTTGCAAGTCACTCAGCATTATCCCAAAAGTCGCATCGATTGCTGCCAAGCGTAGTCTCGTCCTCGAAGCAGAAACATTAACATGGAACCGGAAGCAATTATCGAAGCAGGCCGAATCATGGTCAGTGTCATGAATTCCCGAGGCTGGGACTGTTTGAACTGTGTAACAAAATCAGCAGCAGAGCTAATCATCTCCATTGCAGCTGCCCGGCTTCGGTCTTCCCCTAAATCATGCACCTGAAGACCATTTTCCGGATGCTGTGAATGATTGGGAACAACACTGGCCGCACACAAATCGTGAGCGATGCATGGTAGCGTTCATGCAGGACCTCACACTCGAGGAGAATTGGGATCAGAGGGTGTTCCAAGAGACGGCCATTGCAACTTGGAAGCATGATGTAGTCGAAAAGGATTGGCGCAGAGCTGGCGGAATTCGACATGGCGACTTCACCGATGCAATGTTTGAATGCGTAAGAATAGCCAAGGCCATGATAGACATGATAACTAACTCGTTCCGCAGTGTATAGAAGAACTTCAGGCAAAAGCGAGGCTATATCAAGAGACGGGAATTGTTTCTATTCTTGACATTGAAGTGCGCATCACTCGATCAGACAGAATCATATCGTCAGACATGCGGAGCGCTCTCCAGAGGGCTGCTCACAACATAGAACGAACCTCACTTCGCAAGATCGACTGGAGCTCAGGCAGGGAAAAGAAGCTCACAAAAGCTACCGAGTGCACATCGAGCGCAAAGAATGCTGTGGTCAACCTAGTCGATCCAGCGATGTACCCGCTCGTTTATGGTCGCTCTCGAGTTCTTCCCGGCAAGGACATCGATCTTCAAGACTGCCTTGACTACATCACCCAAGGAGTCACGGTTCAAATACCGGACAAGGACGAAAGGCAGAAATATGTTGACGGCACCTGTTATACATTGTTCTCCGGTAAATCCCAGTGGCTTCCCTGCAATGTTGAATTCCCAGACGGCATCAATGCGAAGATCACGAGCTACGTCAACAACCTGCATCCCAAGGACCACCGGAACTTCTATCCTGTCTTGGAAAACATCATCACGAAAGTAATGCCTATGTGGAATCTGGTGTACTCTACTGTCTACAAGGAAACCATGCATTGCGAGAAGCGCATCGATTGTGATCAGGCAGGTTGGAAATATCCCATTACACCTCCCTACGACCCACTCAACATCAAAGATGACCTAATGAGCGGACTCATCGATGATGATGAGTGGCAACGAAGGACCAACGCATGGCTGCGTAACTTCAGGGTTATTGACAAACCTGAACCACGGTCCGAGGAAGAACGAGCGTACCATACACATGATAGTGCTGTTACACCTGAAGCGTTAGCGAACTATACAAGCATGCTAGGCAAGGCGGACGGTATTCAGGTCATTGTCAAGATGGCAGCAATGTACCTGACC